TTTTTTTTTTTTTTTTTTTCGCAATATCGACAGTTGTTTAGAAGAATGTTTACGAGAAACGTTTAAAAAAACTTGGAATAAATTAGGTTATGATATAAGTACGTACACACGTACTAACAATATATATATATGTATTAATAAATTATTATATATATGTTACATATAAATTTTTACAAAAATAAATTGAACATGCAGAAATCTCATCTTAGATTTTATCATGATCCTGTTATGAATAATAAAAAGAAAAAATGTTCTTCCTTTACGATCTTCTGAATACAATTAAGTAGTTGCAAAATTATGTTGCAATTACATGATATATTACTTAGACAATAATTTTTGTAAAAATTTAATCATTCCTTGCCATATTTTTTCTTAAATTTTCTAATTATTTTTTATTTTAAATAAACGAGACAAGCTCGTTAAATATACAATAAAATCTAAAAACAAGCTAAATTATCATTTGAAACTGAATTTCTATCATATTTTTCTCAATTCTTGGTGCTTTTCGCTTATTAGTGTTATTTTTCCATCGATGCTAAAAGGGTTAACAAAGTATTATTTCTACTACCAACAACCGAACCGAATAGAAATCTTAATAATAAATTTAAGACAATTACTTTCTTTCTTAATTCGTTACAATTTCTAAGTTGGCACCTTTCACATCTGTACAACTCTTTACAGTAATGCCTTATACATTTCCGTTTTATGCAGTCGCGATAAGCCTGAAAGCTAGATCAACTCAATCCTCTGTCGATAAGTACGTTTAGAGAATAAAGAATCACGGGAACGAAAAGAATAAATCTCCGCTAATTTGTCTCACAAAACCGAATTAACATTTAATCCGAGTTACCTTAAATTGTATTTAATTGATCTTGTTAGACGTTATTCATACATTTTCAATGTATTTCAAAATATTTTTTAATATTATCCGCTACGTTTAATAATACTTTTAAACACGTTTTAAATGAAAGCAATCGTTTTATTTTTCTGGCTATGGATGATAAAATTCATCTCTTTATTGGATATTATATTGAATTTGCTGTTCTCCTCGTTTCTGCACGATTGAAAACGGATATTATATTTCAAGTATTATTAAAATCAAGTATTATTAAAATATATATATATATACAATCACTTGACTCTGTCATCTCCAATTACTCGTAATTATCATTTGTTACATTAATATCATTTGTTATATAAAATAATGTTTCAAACAAAAGTTTTATATCATTAAGGTTTATATTACAAAGTCCTTTTAAACTCAAGGTAACAAATATGTAACATTCAATCTCACGATTCGAAAGGAATTCTCACAGTTTGGAAAAAAGAAATATCTTGGGAATTAATATTTCATTAATTACAAGCTAAATTTAAGAAATTCATTCTCAGTATCTCGATATCTCGATATCCCAACAAAAAGCGAAGTAAAGATAATTGTTATTTCTTCAAATAAATAAATTACTAATAATTATACCACACAATTTTTTAACATCACGCGACTTTGCTTAAAACATTTTCTTATACAGCAAATCGTTTACGAGTAATTAAAGATAGTAAATGTAGATGACTTACTCGCTAGATAATTTTTAAATAATTTTTAGTACAATTCACTATAGTTGTAATTTCCGTGTGTTTGTAAACTTCGTTTGTACCGAAACGAACGCAAAGTGAGGGGAACAATATTTAGATAGATACATCGTATAGATAGCAAACAATTTATGAATAATCCGAGATAGAAAATTTGGGGTTAAAAACTCAGGATTAAATTAATTCATTAAAAGAAAGAAAGAAGAAAACAGTGTCCTGTCACGTTCGTTTATCGGAGAAAAACCGAAACGTTACGTCGTTCGTTTCATTTTAAATAGAGTTTCACTTAAGAGTACAGAGGCAGCCAGGACACGATTCACAATCGAAACAGGATGAATTGCGTAAGGAGTACGATCTTGAGCCGTGGAGGAAACGATAATTCTCGACAATTACCTCTGATCGTTGTGTAAATATTTAGAGGGAAATCGATCGATGGTATAAAGGGAAAGCGGGGTCGCGATATCAAGCATTTCAAATCCCGGCGGTTTCTCTCTCCACCGAATCCCAGTCGGTGGATTATCGGTTTCGACAGATAAAAACGCGGTGCCCTCTCGGTTTTTGCCTGTACTATCGCAATTTCCTTCGTGCTCGCAGCAATTAGAGGTATTAGGAAAAGCGTTTTATCGTAATTAATGAGTTCGAACGATCCGTTCTATTCGCGTCACGTCGCACTGCCATTTTTATAATTCTTCGTAGATAGAATGAAAATAACGTTTGCACGTGAAAATGATACCGAATCGACCAAATCCTTGAGACAGGTATTGCGAAGAGATTAGTTTTCTGTGATCTAATTTTGTGCGATAGAGATTGATAAAAGTGCAATTACATCAAAAATTTTGACCATCTAGAATTAAAGATTTAAAGTAATATTGAATTCTACTTTTCATCTTCTACATTTCATTAAGTTTTTATCGTTGACATAAATATCAAACGATTTAATAAAAACTCTTGGATCTAATAAAATAATATGTATATAAATGTTGTAACAAATACAATGGTAGTATTTTTTTTTTTATTGTAAGTAGATATATATTTCAGACTATTCGGATTTTAGTATTAACTCTTGAATAATGTCATTAGGTTGTAGATGGCTATTGCAATTTGCATCAAGTAATTAAAATTTTTTAAAGCCTTAAATTATTATGGTTTTCGATATGCAATAACACCAGTTAAGAATTAAAAAAAGTTTGATATACTTACCTAGCAGCTACGATTGGCACTGATCGATCTTGATGAATTTGAAGTTACGAAAAAAGATGGCTTTACACGTGAGTTTTTCGAAAATCTCCGAACAGAGTGTGCATTTCACACACTAGTCACTCGGAAACGCTTTTGCTTTTCGCGCTTTGAACTCTATTCCACGCCGTTGTAACGCGATTTTCTTCGAAGCGAAACGGGATCGCATTGCGTTCTTGGTGCTCGGTTCAATTCTATCTCGGTGTCCTCGGTATTCCCACTGTGCTGTTAAATACTTTAAAACAACGCGAGAAGAATTGCTCGAGTCACCCGTTAAGAAGCGAAACCAAAAAAAAAAAAAAAAAAAAAGAGAAGAACGTAAAAAATGAAATGGAAAGAAACAAAAACGGGAAACCAAGCGATTAAGGCAATTAATATCGTCTAATTACGAATTTTCACCCTCCTCCTATGGGTTAATTATCGTCGTCGCAAGAACTCATTGGCGAATAGATAGAAATCAACTCTCACACGATTCTTGTTAATGATACTCGGAAGGGCGGAAAAGGAGGGGAGGATGGGGGACGAGGAAGAGAGCGGAGAAGAAAACGAGAAGCATGGAAAAGAGAGGAGATACAGGAAGCGAACCTTTTATTTCGAGCCCCGCGCGTGTGTACATGCATATATGCATTAGGATTCGGGGCGAAAGGTCGACGTACAACCGGAGAGATAAGATTTGTGAGGGGTGACTCTCTGGCCGAGTCTGGCTGGAAATACGCGCGCCGGGGAAATTAACGAAAGCTCTCGAAAACGGAGAAGGGGGTAGGGGTCGGTGCTTCGGGGGCGGGAAACGGAAACCGGAACGCGGACACGGAAGAAAGGTGGAAACCGAGTGGAACAACAACAATTGCCCGAGGAGGGAAACAAAAGGGGACACGTGGAAATGGAATAAAACATTAAACGAAAAACAATGGAAAAGATCAAAAGACAGGCGAAGAATGAAGCTACGGCCGGGATGTACGCGCTCGATGCAAACAGGGTGCATAAATGGAGCGGCTGAAGAAGACGCTTCCTCCCGTTTTTCTTTTTTTTTTCCTTTTCTTTTCTTGAGTTTTTGTTACTTTGCACAGTGTGGAATTTTTAAAAATTGAAAACTTCTTTAACTGTGTGAAAAAATGAAATGGGTGGAGTGCTGGGGGTGGAAAACTTTGAAAATAATTCTCTGTATTATCATATCGATAATGATTTCATTTTGCCAGATGTTCTCTGAACTCCTTGAAATTTGAATAAACACCTTGTGATACAAGATGACGCGTTCTTTGATGAACTTTTCGGTCAATTTCCCATGTATATAAACCTCGTAATAGCTTTGCGTTCCACGCGAGCAGAGATTCTTTATTTTACTTTTGAAAAAAGCGAAAAACGTTGCTCACAATAAATCCCCGTAAATTACTGCTACTAGGCAGAGTGAGTTACGAAACTGGAACAAATCGCTGGTTTTGTTTCGTTGGAAGTAGAAAAAAAAAAAAAATTGAACAATGGTTTGGACAAAATAAAACGGAGGAAATACTCTCTGTTTTTTTTCTTTTTTTTTTTCTACAAATATAACGATGCATAGAAAAGATACAGCGGGTAAATAGAAAACGTAGAAATACAGAAAAGGGAATGAAATTAAATTTTTGTAAGAGTGTATTGATTTAGAAAATATGAATGGAGAAAGGGAGGAATGTGAATGAAAACAGAGAATAAAGAAGAAATAAGAAGGATGGACGATAGAATTATTGTGAAAAATCGAGTCTGAATTGAATTGCAATGATAAGAAATTTTTATGGAGATGCAGTTGCTCGTGAAAATATTTGAACGCTTAAAGAAATCTTTTATGAATTATACATGTTGTATAAAATA